TGTGTGTGTGTGTGTGTGTGTGTGTGTGTGTGTGTGTGTGTGTGTGTGTGTGTGTCTGAATGCCTTCTTGTTTCTTCTTACTGTCTTTCAGTTTGGGAGATTAAAAACTAGACACCGAATTCTAGCAAAGGCTTTGCAGGTTCTGCTTTAGCCAAATCATTGTGCATGTCGATAGGCTGAAACTTAGACTGAAGTGTTCTTCTAGAGGCCAGAATTTGTGCTTTCATGGTCCATAGACTTGTGTTGATATTGCACTGCCTGAGCGGGAATTCTGCTAGTATATTTAGGGAGGGAAGGTGTGGACACTACCATGTACCTACTCTGTGGACCCAGTTCTTGGCAGCCATCTTAAGGCCTGCGAGGCACCCTGTGGCTATTAAAAAACACATGACTTCTCTCCCCTTTGTACCTCTCAGTATATGAAATGTTTCTGCCAGTGTACATTTTAGCCTATGCACATTTCTTCGGCCGTTTGAGTATTGGATACTATGCTCAGCTCAGCCTGCATTCTGTGCTCGAAGGTCGCCAAGGTGCCTGTCTACAGCCTGTTTCCATTATGCAGAGTTTCCAGATAACCCCATGTCAGAGGAGTGTGCCTCACTTTCCCTGGCAGCCCCCAGCAGGGGTGGGGGTAATATAGGAGCGATAACGGCCCTTTGTTCTCAGTGTCTAAAATCCCCTCCTCTTACTCTGTGACCGTACACTTTTCAGAGGCTGTCACTGGCAGTTGGTCATTGTTGAGGAGCTGAGCAAGAATTGGGAGTTCAAATCTGAAACAGTTACTGAGCTCTGTGGCTGGGCCAGGCAGCCTGTCAAAGGAGCTGGAGACAAGAGGAGAGGAAAGAACTCTCTACAGAAGCTTGAAATCACCACCACACAGCTTCCATCATCTGTACCAGGAGAGACATATGCACAGTGAAAGACAGAACAGAGGGAAAGGGATTAATTCCAGGTCAAGGACAGGGAAGATTGGCAATAAGCCATCTTGTCAAGAAGCTTAATTAATATAAGATAGAGGGAAGTGACACTTATGTTTTTCTCTCATCACTTTTACCACATTAATATGTTTTGGTCAATCTTTGCATTCCACTACAGAAGTACCTGGTGAAAGGGATGGGATTTAAGGTTATAGGGATTAAATGTGTGTATAAGTAACAAACTCAGGATGAGGTTCTGTTCTTTTTGTACAAGTCATAGAAGCGGAGACAGATATGTCAGCATTAGGATTTATTTTATGCTTTCTCTGGTTACTATACTGATAGTAGACTATCTTTGAGTACTGCCGCAGTATAGCCCTAGACGCCATAAAAATGCATAGATAGATGGCTACGAGTTCACTTAAAAGGTCTTGGCCCTGCTTTCGATATGCAAACCCTGTCTATTTTAGTTTTAAATATATGCTTATATTTTTTTGAAACCAAAAGGAATATCACTTTTCAAGGTTAGAGTGATGCTTAAGGTTTATTGAAACAACAACAACAATGCCCAGAAATGGAGAAAAATAGCCCTAAAGTACTTTTTCACAGCAGCATTCTAACTCCATCATTTAGGTACGCTTTAAGTAATATTCTCTTCATTGTAAAATACAAATCCTTTGACTCTTAACCAGGGAACTGTTGAAGAAAGCCACCACTCTGGGGATGAACAGGGATTGAGAGCTTCCTATATAAGAGAGTCAGCCTGTTTTATGTAAGCAAATTTGTCTGGGGCAGGGAGGTTCTAATTATTTTAAGTGGTCAGAAATCAAGTAACCATACAATAGTTGTCCAAAACAGAAAGACACAAAGTCGTGTACCCAGTCACTAAAAAGTATATAAAGGAGAAAGGGAAAATAAGTATTAATTTTGATAGTATTTTGGCGCAAATGCGTAAGAGGACTTCCGTTTGTATCAGTTGTGTATGGGTAGAAATTAATTTGTAATTCTGGTCATCTGGTCGGCTCCGTACTTAACAGCATCTGTGACCTTTTCCATTGGAGAAAGAGGCTGTGTCCCCTCCTCGTGGAACAGCACCAGGACGGGTAGAGAATAATTATTGGAAGATTTAGGACACTCGGGGTTCCATGTAGAGCTTTGGCTTAGCTCGAGCCTTCCTAGAATAGAATATTTTAGCTTGACGGCCTAGGGTGGTAACATTCTCCAGGTTTTGAATAAAACTGAGAATTCACGCTCGGTTCCCAGTTTGGCCGGATGTGGCTCCCAGCGTTTGTGCTGTTCCCCCAGGGCGGTGCAGGGACCCTTGTAAACCAAGCCTGACTATTTCCATGGCACCCGGCTCTTCGAGGCTCTTCTGCTCACTTTTCTGTGGCTTGAAATTTTAGACTAGCTTCAAACATACCTCGTAATCAGCTCTCATTGCTTGTGTTTTCTGTTTCTCTAAAGGTAGGATGACAAAACAAATGTATTAAACAAAAAGTGGATAGAATAAAGGTGTCTACCTTCAGATTTAAAAATATTTGGGGTTAGTTATTCCTGCTGGCTTTAATATCAATGAATACATATTTTAATTTTCTTGTCTATTGTGAATCTCAGTTAATTGATAGAAAAGATGCTCTCCACTGGTTTTAGCAGAAGCCTTAATTATAAGTATGTCACACCCACAGGTACAATTTTAGCCATGGTTTTAAAGAATATGTTATAGCTGGCAAAATTTTGTCTGTCTTGTGGCCTGATTAAAAGAAACTTCTCTGAAATAAATTTAGATATCTTGCTTTAATTTTATGTAACAAATGGCTTAAGACTTGTTTGGAATAAAAATTGTTATGGTATAACTCTGCTAAAACAATGTGAAATAGTTTTGAAATGTTTAACTTGTAATTTTTAAGGAAATGATATAGGATCTTAGAAAAAGAAGCAATTAACTCTATCTCAGATAGTCTATTATAATAGTAGTTTCTGTCACTAGAATTTTAAGTATGCTCTCACTATAAGTTTAATTGTGTTTCCAGGTTTAGGGACAGGCTTGACCTCTGTCTTTTCAGTTCACTCTGAAAGGCTCCTCTGCAGGATTTTGATATGTTACCATTTGGTTTTGTCTATTGTAACATACGCCAATTCCCACAATATTTTGAGGAAAAAAAAAACCCTCTTTTGATTGATATAAAATTTAAAAACCACCTCCTTACTGCTTATGTTATTTTAATGTTTGATCCAACGGAACTTTTTGTTGTGTTTAGCAGGCTACTATTGTCTGAAAATTCTGAAGTAGACATAGCTCTTCTAGCACTCTCCCATGATTAAGATGCTCTTTGTCTGAGAGTCCTTTAACACCACAGATGAAAATTTCTAAAAAAAAAAAAAAAAAGAAAATTTCTAGGTCCCTGGGAGTACCATGTCTTTTGAAGTCTCTAGGAGAGAGAAGGAGCGCTATGGCGTCAGCAACACTTTCATCTGGGTCATGGTCACATGCAGTAACTCTTGATTGTGTACTGGCTTCTTGCTGAAATGCAATCAGATTAAAAATGGCTGATTCAGACCTGTGGTATCAAGGAAAAGTCAGGAGCCACTGTTTCCACAGGTGGAGAGAATATTTTTTAATTTCAAGTAATTATTTTTATTGTTGGCCTAATCTCTGAAAAATGCCTTATTCTCTTGGAGATGTGGCACCTGGATTTTCCTCTTTTTCTCCGGAATGCATAACTATGTTTGCTTCTAATTCCGTGAAATTCTTTTGAAAATCCATTTTATCTCATTCTAAAAGTAAATGTTGTTTTCAGTTATCGAACTTAGAAATTAACTCAATGGAAAGAAAATTTTTTAAGTTCAAAAATTGTGTTAAAAAAAAAAAGAAATCAGTTAAGCTCTGTAAAGGTTTACAAGACTCTGCTTTTACCAACAAACCATTTTGGAGTTCCCAGATGCCTCAGCACAACAGGAAAGCATCTGCCCCATGAAGGAAGCTTGTTCCTCAGTCTTGTCTGGGTCACTGATTACTTCTAGTGCAGGCATTGTGTCATTAGAACTTTGAGTAGTGTGAGTCAGCAGTGTGCGGGGTTGTCTAGGTTGCTTTTCTATACCAGCTTCAAATTATGTCCTTTATTATGATTGGAATTGAGCTTCAGATGTGTTCAGCAGAGGCTAAAGTTGTTATCAGACTTCTGTGTACAAGTAATGAGGAAGTGAGTTTGGAACCATCTTTTTGTTGGGAAATGGTTCTGAGGAGCTTCAGCTATGGATCCAGCACAGAGGAAACAGTTGGAGGCTTAAACAAAACCGAAGTAAAGGTTCATGCACCCGCCCCCTCCCACATTCCCTTTTCCATCTTTTCTTCATTCATAGTGCAGTTTCTCTGGTGTTCTCATTCTTAGTTTATAGGCTGAACCTTTTGAGAAAGTCTGGCACCTCTGATCCACTTTCTCTCACAGATCCTGTAATCTTGGCTGTATTCTTTGTTTTTCAGATTCAAGTCAATCTGAAAGTCCCAGCCAGCCAAGTGATGCTGACATTAAGGACCAGCCAGAAAATGGTAAGTTTAGCACCGGACTCTGGCTGCTGTTTCAGAGTCCACAGGGGCCAGCCGGCAAGGCTGCCCTATGAGAACTCACAGCAAGAACTGGGGATTCAAAGAGAAAACTCAAGGGGCATTCTCGTAGCCTCATTCCACACCCCAAACCCTCTCTCTGAGGGTCCTCATTAAGGCATTTAATTCTCTGGAAATGTGAGAGGAGGGCTGGATTCACCAGGGCATGTTCTTGGACAGTGTGAAAGAAGGATCATGGACATCTCATGTCATTTTATAATAGTTCTCTTCAAAGTGGGAAATGTGCAAAGATGTCCACTGAAGATCGTGCAAGGACAAGCAGTCTTCAGAGTAACATAGAGCTTAACCATTTGCAAACTGCTTTAAGAAAGCACCATATCTTTGAAGGAATTTTTCCCTTTAAACTGTATAAAATAAAATAATAAGTATTTGTTTACTTATCTAAAATAGGATAGTATTACTATTAATTAGCGAAATTAATTAAGGTAAGACACTTAACTCTTTCAGTGACTTTATACTAAATAAATAAAAGTGCTAGTAGTGGTTCAGGACTCCTGTACATTTTCCTTGCCCATATAATGCTATCATTCTTTATTTTTCATCTCCTGCTACATGTATGACAATTCCTCTCCTCTTCTCCCTCCTCCTCATCTTTTTCTGTTCTACTTTTTTCCCCCTGTTTTGAGCTCCAGTTCATTATCTGGAAGAGGGAGGTAAACTGAATTATTTGGACTACTCTGCTGAAGGGTATACCTTATCCCATTAGAAATTCTATCACTAATCATTCAGAACACTTTTTATTTTGTTAACCCTGCAAACTCCACTTACAATTCTCTACTGTGACCTTAAATGTATACTGACAATTCCTCTTCTCATCCTGGTATTTTGGTGAAATACTTTTTATTAAAGCTTTTTTCTTCTCAAGAGGCAGTTAACAAAGAAAGGGAGTGAACCCTGAAGATTAGTTTTTTAGTGCCAAACAGCTGCATATTATTTTTTGCTGGCACTCTAAGTAACAATATCTATAGACTTGTCTCTTTATTTTTGGCCTGGCTGAAGGTACCTTAAAAGTCCCATTTTTCATAAAATCTATCTGTACTAATCTTCCTGAAGTTGTGTCCAGAGGAATTTTATTTTTATCTTAAAAATTGATAAGCTATAGCGTTGGTCTAGCTCACATATTTAGGTCTGGATACCATGAATAGGTCTGCTATTCATCTGTCTTCATAAAATGGCTGGCAAGCTGTTCACATGCAAATATAAACCAAGGGGTTGGGAGATGGCTTGGCGCACCTCTCCAGAGCCGCCTGTGATGCCAATATTGTGCATTTCCGGTCCAAAAAGCATCTCACGACTCAGTCTGGTGTTTCAGCCAAAGGCATGATGATAGCGGCCAAGTTGACTTCTAACCGGACTGACTTGGTGCTAGGACTGACTTGGTACTACCTCAAGGATTCATGATTGTAACTTCAAAGAAAGGAAGTGTTTGTATCCAAGAGATAAAGTCACAAATTCCTACCTTTCAAGCCTCAGTCTAGTTAGTTATTTATTTATTTATTTATTTATTTATTTATTTATTTATTTTAAGAAGAAGAAGAAGAAGCTGTTGTGTCTTAGCCTCTATTGGAAAAGGTCAGCATATTCCTTTCCTCCATCTGCCCCTTGTCAGCCTCAGAGGACATTACTAGAAGAAAAATATCATTTTTTTTCTTTAAAGACAGAATCACAGAGAGAATAAATGAAGGCTTTAGGGCAAGTATTTACATGGGTAACCTATTCTCCGTGTTGCCTTAATTGATTGTGTCCCTTCTTCTAGCCTGTGAGCATAAAAATGGGTTTCTGAACGGTATCTAGATTTGTTTCGAAAACAGAACCTCTCATAGGTGTATCAGCTAAGCTCTGTGAAGTTTTGGAATCTTGCTGGGTGATGGCGTGACAAAATTTGTTCTTCAGATGAAGTGGGAACGCATTGTTCCTTTTTTTTTTTTTAATACGCACACACAAGGGAAAACAGTCTTTTCTCCTAGCTCTTGAGAAAGGTAATGGGAAGCAAATGGTATTTGCTGAGTAAACCTTGGAGAGTGAACAAATGGTCACACAGCGCTTCATCTACAGCCATCAGCAAGGCCACGCGGCTCTACCTAAAGTGAATGCAGCTGTCCTTACCTCTGCAGCCAGTCTGCTGCGTTTGTAGAATTTTGCTTTCTTTACTCATACTCCCTCAAGGCCCAACCATGAGAAAACACAAATCTTTGTCCAATTAGAGTAGTAGATGGAAAATTTTTAAGGAATTCTCTGGAGCTCAGAGATAAAATACTAACATTTCTGAAACTCAAAACTGATATAATCTAATGGTTAAAACTGCCTCTGGAGCCAGACAGACCTGTGTTCAAATTAAATAGTAGCTGGGTGAGTAAATGGGCATCTCCCCTAAACTTAATTTTCTTATACGCACACTACAAATGCTAAAAGGAACTTAGGAATATTGGAGTGAGTGTGGGTAGAAATGGTATAATGCTTCGCTCACAGGAAGAGGCCAAAGGTTCTTCTGGTAAGGCTTCCCATAAACACCAGACACTGTTCAAGGTTCCCAAGCTGGAGTCCTGGGCCAGAAGGGATGGTGTCAGAAACAAAGCCTTTCAACTTCTAGGGCCATCTTTGTAGATGGCCTCTAAGATGTCTGGCGATAAGTTCCTTCTTAAGTCCCACAGACCTGAGTATACATCTATATTAGCTCTACATCTGTATAGCTCTGTCCTCTTCTGTCCATCTCCCATGAGCCTAAGGACTAGTGAATAGCAGAAGTGATTCAGAATTTGCTGGCACCTCTGAGTGTGTGTGTTTCAGAAGAGAGGTATCCTACAAACAGGGCACTCTGCCTAGATTTCCTTAAAAACATTAGCTAAGTCTCTGTTGTTTGTTTGTTTCTTGTTTGTTTTTTTCTGGAGCATAATCCAACTAGAATCTGTAAAATGCTGTAATTGTGTTGGGAGTATAGCTCAATAGTAGATCACTTGCCTAGCTTGGGTGAGGCCCTATGTTCAAACCCCCCAGCCTAATAATGAAAAGAAAGCAAAAGAAGCAAATCAAAATTCAAAGAAAGAAAACAACATTGCCCTACCCAAAACAAACAAACCAATAGAAGTCTGCAAACTGATTAAGGTAGGATTTTTGACAGATTCATTTTAAATAGATCATGCTTAGCACCTAACTCTTCACCTTGAACACGGGCAAAGACACTGCTTAATAAATAAAATCAGTTGATAACAGTGTTGCCATTATATATATTACATATTTCCTCACTGCTGATTACCATAAAGGTTTTAGGGAGGAGAAGCTGAACATCTGATTTGTGTGTGGAAAAAGAGCCACAGGTAGAAATATCTAGATTTAACCAGTTGTTTCTGAAGCCAAAGCTAGAGTGAGTAGATCAAGCGTAGCTGCCGCAAAGCATGGGCGGTTAGCATCAGGTATGTTTGTTCAATGTAGGGAATCAGTTTAGACGAAGCTTCCAACTCTGATGCATCAAGTCCATCACTAATGAGGGCAAAGCCTGTGAGATATCACTTCTGCTTAAAAGGCCCCATTCAGTTGGGTCACAGAGAGTCAGGGTCAAGTCAGCACAGGCAGTCCTGAGACACATTCCCCACTGAGCCTAACAGTATCAGTGAAAACACCCAAATGTCAGAATGGGAGAGGCAGAATTACATTGCCAGAAAGAGAAGAGTCTGCTCGTCCCATTTACCACGTAGACAGCCAATAATTATCTTACCTTATTGGTATAAAACTTCTGTTATTCTTTGGGTAGAGTACAAGGAATCTTATGAAAGAAGTGGGAAATAGTGAGACCTGGAGAGGACAGGAGCTCCACAAGGAGAGCAACAGAACCAAAATATCTGGGCACAGGGGTCTTTTCTGACACTGATACTCCAACCCAGGACCATTTATGGAGATAACCTAGAACCCCTGCACAGATGTAGCCCGTGGCAGCTCAGTGTCCAGGTGGGTTCCAGAGTAATGGGGACAGGGACTGTCTCTGACATGAACTGATTGGCCTGCTCTTTGATCACCTCCCCCTGAGGGGGGAGCAGCCTTACCAGGCCACAGAGGAAGACAATGCAGCCACTCCTGATGAGACCTGATAGACTAGGATCAGAAAGAAGGAGAGAGGGACCTCCCCTATCAGTGGACTTGGGGAGGGGCATGGGTGGAGAAGGGGGAGGGAGGGTGGAATTACCAGGGGAGGAGAGAGGGAGCTACAGGGGGGATACAAAGTGAATAAACTGTAATTAATTAAAATTTAAAAAAAAAGTTTTGTTATTGACAATGAGAATCCATGTTACTATTGGGGTCACTTTCTTTGGGTTTAGTGGTGCCTGTTCCTGTGTAGCAGCTGTATGACATTGCCACATCGGCCCTCAGATGGCCCCTGTAATTAGAGGAAAGCCATTAACCATGACACTTGCCCCAGATTTTGAAATAATGCAACTCTACCTGCCAACTGGAATATTGAGGCTAGCTATTTTTTTTTTAGTTGTTTGCTTTTTGACTCCACTTTTATGTTGACTAATTTTATTTATTCCAGTCCCATCTTGAATTGTTAAAACTCAGTATCATTGTTAAATGTTACTAGACAAACAATCGACTGATCTTCACCATAATTATTAATATTTTACTAGATAATCATGCCACTCATTTCCATGCATATTTTGAATATTTTAATATTTTCCAAACAACTAGTAAGGATACTGACTTCCTAATTTAAGATTCATATGTAGGATACACTTTGTAAGTTGGGGGTGAGATTAAAAAAAAAAACCCTATAAATTTCTATTTCTCTTTTGGATAAACAGTTTTTTTTTTTAAGATCTAGTAAATGTTCTTTTAAAAAGTCTACTTAATCTTTTCTTTTTCCTACTTCTGCAAATATAATAGAAGTATTGTCATATTAAATCCCATGTTAATAACATTGAAAAAAAAAACCA